CGGATCGGATTGGATATTTTGATTTGTATAATTAGTAGTTGTGATTTGATTCGTTTTAGACGGATAACAAATTTTACTATTTGCTTTGTTTTAATGTATAACGGATATTCAATTTTTTTGAATTAAATCAAAATGAATAATGAATCGGAGCAAACCTAACGAATAATTTGGTCATCCCTAATTTTAACTATCTAAATTTCTTGTACCCACTAAAAACTTTTGTATTAAGTCACCATATATGCCAAACGTTGTGTAAAAAGTAGTGGTTTGGATAAAATGTTTTTGGGCTAAAAATAGTATGTTCGTTTGAAAATAGAAATAATTTGTTGTGTGTCATGTGCAATATGGGTCCCACGAATATGTCAATGATTGGATGAATATTATTTTGTTGGATCGTACGTGAAACTTTTTGTTTTTAACGATGCAACGTTTTTGATTACCTGCATCGCGGTATATCATACGCTTTTTGTATACATTCGCAGCTCCCTCGTGCGTGTCATCATCATTACTATGCATTTTGGTTTTGTTTTAATTTGAAAGTGAATTAATAGTAAACTATATAGCAATTAAATCATTCTAAACAACATATATTATCCCCTAAAAGTGATAAAACACATCGGTATAAAAGTAAGTAATGAAAACACCGAGTTTGAATGTGTTGGGTCTTAACCTTACAGACAACTCTACCTTGAAAAAAAAAATGGTGATAATTTCATGGAAATGTGTAAATCCATTAGAACATCATTATCGATAAACTATTCAAAGTTTCTCTAAGTTAATAATTTAAAATTAGTTTAGTTATTTATTTAATTTGCAAAATATAAACGTCTACTGTTTTGCCGATATTTATTCGAGAATACCAATAGAATGCTGCTACATGACAAAACAAACAAAGAAAATGGATCGTTGTGTACGTAAACAAAACCAAAACGATTTCAACACGTGTCATAAGGCATCTTTCATAAACCCATCATCAATTAAAGAGGAATAAAAAGAAGAGACGAAGGTAAATGATCTTACATTCTTACACATGGACATTATGAATTTTTATGTCGAGAGTAGAAGGCATTAACGTTTTTTCGACTCTACATATATTCCACTTCCATGAAAGAAATTGATATTGAGTTCGCTATGACCGATAACTCAAGTTTAAAAAACAAAATTATATTGGGTTTATACTTTGTTTATTGTCATTTAAAAAAAAAAAAAAGTGATGTTGAAAAGTTAGACGACGCAAAAAAAAAAATCAAATTGGAACTTGTCTCGGAATTGCTTGTGTCCAACTTACCAATCGAAGAGGAATTCTTTGGCTCTCGAACATATTGTCCCTGCAACTTACACAAAGAATCAACTATATTCAAAATAAGGTAAGGTTTATGGATACTCCCTGTTTATTATGCAAATCATACGAAATGATACTTTGTTATCAACTTCAGTTCTTATCTCTTGATTTTTCTCCAACGCTAAGGAAATGGTCATTCTTCCCTCCTCCCTTTGACAGTCCTGCCTTTCTAGCCGTCTTCTCTGGCAACGCTCTCGCCTCTCTACACCCATAAGAAACAAAACAAATTATTTTTAGCAAAAAAACAAAACAAATTATCCATCTATGAACATTACCGGAATACAAGACGGATTAAAAATCTAATTCCACAATCCCAAATCAACAATACAAAACAAAATCTTATTAGTTAATCTCAAACTCTACCGAGAAGGAGAGTGGATTTAATTGGTTATTGTGACTGCATGCATAAGAGTAATTTGAACGAAGACAAAAACGCTTAGGGTTCTTATTTGTTTTTAATGTTTTTTAATGTCATTAAAATGTGGTTGACTGCGATTAAAATTTTAAAAATCCTAATTAAAAAAATTAGAGGTGATGTGTCACAAAAGGAGAGTGCTTATGTGTCATTGCCTTGTGAGTGTAAACTCATCTTTTATATATAGGACTACCAAAGTAATACAAGTTTGAAAGAAAAGAATTGGTGAGAAACTAGATTTGTAAAAAATTTATGATGCTATTTAAACAAAATAAACATATAACGATAACAAGAAGAAGAAGTATGATTCTATTTAAATATAATTTTGTTTGTTATTATTCTTTTCATTCACCACTGTCTACTTTCACATAATTCCCGACCTAGTATTCCTTATAATCCGGTTTCTACTATGTAAGAATGATGAATATTAGTATAGAGGGCCCTCTATACTACTAATCCATGAAATATACCATAAACTTACGACTTTGATATAATAGATATTATATTTATTAAGTCTCATTAAAAACATTATGATATTGTACATCTGATCAGAATATCGATGTTATGAGTAAAAAAATAAAAAAAATGAATATTCTGACAATTTGGCGTCAGAAAAACCTTTGGGACTATTCGAGAATATGCAAATGAGTGAAATGGATATTGGTGATGCTTTTAATTTATATTTATTATTTTTTAATCTATGAAACTCATTAAAAATTCACGAATGTTGATGCTCTAACGTACTCTTTGAAAAATTAATATACACCTTCACTTACATTGATTCCTTGAGAAAGCCTCCTCCTGCCAAAATTACTAAACCAAAGAGCCATGTATTTCTAATTGCACTGATAACTTAAAAAGACAAGTTATGTACTAAATGCCTTTTAAAAAGACAAGTCAGAAAGCCTCGGTGTTTAAATGTAGTAATGTCTATTGCCTATTGAATGTAGTAATGTACTAAATGCCTTTTTAAACTGGCTCTTTTTAGTATTGCGTATAAAAAATGATTCATACATACTTAGTCTGAAGTAATACGATTACATGCAAAAGCAGAGACACATGACCAATACCTTCTAGTAAATTATTTGTTCCTTCTTATATGAGACAAAGAGAGACACGTGACTAATATCTATACAGGTGAATAATATAAAATAAATTCTCTGTTCTTTCTTGTAAATCGAAAAGCCTGGCATTAGAATATACCAAACTTATAACTACAAAAACTTTCGAAAGAAAAACAAATGAAAAAGCAGAGACACATGACCAATACCCGTAACATAAGCGATCACATACTAAACTACCGTGACTACATCATGTTTCACATGCTAAGCCAAAGATCTTACCCATGGATTTGTGGGATTCTTTAGCAGCGGAGACATTATCACTATAATAAATAATAACCCTAATAAAGAAGAAGAAGTTGGAAGGCTCATTAACCTTAATGAAATCATTTTCTTTCGGAAACAGAAGTAATGTACATGTCCAATGGCTTAGGTGTCATAATTTGATTAGGTGATGTGTCAAAGTAACAGATGCTTAGATGTCAAGGTCTTGTGAGTGAAAGTGAACTATTATATATAGGATTATATAGGCTTTTTGAGAATTAATAATGTGATCTCCAATAATAAAAGATTTACCTATCATCTTTCTCTCTTTTGTTTTTTCTCCAACTTTTTCCTTCTAACTGACCCTTTCCTCTTTGTTTTTTTCTTTGCTGAAAAATATACTTCATTCGTTTCTTAATATAGAATGTGTTGCCTTGAACCACAAATTATTAAAAAAAACTTTTTTCCAAATAAAATTATTTAATATATAAAATATAAACAATTCAACCAATTAAAAAAAAATGTATAATATTATTGGTTACACAG